AGCTGCCTTGTAGGAGGTGGGGCGGAGTGGGGAGACCGTGAGGTGGTTGGATCAGGAGTGGTGGGCACTAAAGAAGCGATTTGAAGGGAGGACTAATGGTAGCTGAGAAGAAAAGATGGTGTGGGTTCTGTTTTTACTGGAGCACTCTGAGTTGAGTTGAAGGGTTTTCAGAAGGCATTTTGTCGGAGCAATGGTGGGATACAGAAGAAGGGGATTCTGTGGTTAAGGAAGGCTACGCGGTTATCAGGACTTGTTTATGGGGAAGACAGTACGATAGGTCAGATGTAGAGGAGCTAGAGATTAGGATGGGGAGGATCGAAGAGTTACACTAGAGAGGACAGGAACAGTGGGGAGGGAACTAAGAGCTGTGAATTTAACAACTTGGAAGGAGGAGTTGACGGATTTAGAAACAGAATAATGAAATATGTTCATAGCATTGTGTTGGGTGCTTGAGCAGCTGCAGTGATGGGGGGAACCTAGACAGTTATTAAATCCAAGCCAGTGGATAAACAAATATACAAGAGTAACAACCTAATAAGCATGTGAGATCATTGAAGGTCATACATAAACCACTAAATTAATCATGTTACTAAATAAATTGAGAAACATGCACAAACTTAAACCAATAGGATGTCTGATGGGAACACAGATTAGATATTCCAGTGAGATAGTGCTTATGTGATTCTCAAGTAACTTCTTTGCCAGAGAGCCTGAGGGCTCCCACCCCACCAAAACTGGTCCCCCACCACAGTACTGATGCTAACTCAGACTCAGAGCTCTTCCAGGTTGCAGGCATGTTGTAGAGTTTGATCCAGTCTGAATTCTTGGGTTAGGAACTCTTGCTGGCTGTGAAGGTGGATTTGGCAGACAAGTCCTCTGGCCCACCACTGTCCACTGAGTCAGGCTTATTCCTGTGAAATCAACTCAGCTGCTCGCAGTAACAGGCTACTCCACTGCAGTGGAACCTATCAGGGCTGGTTGAGAAATAACACCCCAACACCCTGTCTCCAGTCTTTAGCCTAGAGAAGAAATACATTGCTAGAGTGTGAACATCATAGCAACTCAGGTCTTGACTCACCATTAATGTACACTAAATATAATGGCTGTGTCTCCCCGACAGGTGAAAAACATCATTCAACAGTAATTTTATGGCCTCAGTTATCTAATGCCCGGAGAGCCGGTGGATCAATAATGCCAGAGTGGGGAGGAGACGAGAAACAGAAAAAACGGGCAAAAAATTTAAGTCTTCTGCTGTGTGGTATGAGAAGAAAGAAATAGGAAGAGGGAAAATGGTCCTGTCAATTGCAGGAGATGTTTTATATATTGAGAAAGGGATAACAGGGAAGCTGTACAAAATTGGTGGTGATACAGGGAAATGGAGAGAGTCTGTGATACAAATATTAGAACAAAAGCTTACAAGAAACAATTGATAAGCAGAGAGAAGAGAAAAGTAAACTTGAGAATAAGTAAACCATGGGGAAAAGTGGCTAGAGGATGAGATGTGGGTAAGAGGAGGAGAGGATATAAATGAACAGGGGGAATTCTCCTCTCTTAGGACTATATTGGGAGGAGGAAAAAAGACAAGTAAGAGAATTTTAAAGGTACAATAAAAATAAAAATGAAAAATTAGTACACTCAAGGAATAGTAGAGGAAGATTTTCGATTGCTTCAGACACATGGCCCCTTCCTCAGGCCTGCGGTGAGGAGCAGAGCCCTGGGCAGGGCACGTGCTTGTTCGTGCTGAAGTCTGAGTGGCAGCTGCCCCTGAGCAGCGCTGGGCACAGAGGTCTGCTGTGAGCCTGCAGTCCAGTGGGGTTCAGGCTAAAGCTGACTTTCGGCTTCAGGAGCCCACTCTGTGATCACCCAGCTCCTGCCTCTTAGCTGGACTCCACCGGGCCTGCTGTCCAGCTGTCAGCAGTCTTCTGTCCTTCCCTCATCCACTCTGGGAACCTGGCAGTGGACTGTTCTGTGTCACAGTTCAAGCCCCCGCCCATCCCTACTGTGGCCTTCCTGCAGCTGGGCTCTGTGCAGCTGTGTCCTCCGACGTGCACTTCAGTTGCTCGGTCACCAGTCACTGCAGGGTGGGGTCTCCCGGTATAAATCCAGGTTATCCAGGGACTGTTGAGTCTGGGATCGGAGCAGTGCAGGGAGAGCTCGGTATGGGCTCAAGGGAGCCTAGGGTGCTGCGTCCAGGCTGAGACCAGGCCAGTGCTTACACTGTGTGCCGGACGAATGACACAGTTTGCTTGGGATAAAGGCTCCCAGTGGTGACTCAGGTGTGCTCAGGGGCTGATACCAGATGCCTAATGAGAGCCACAGGAGTCTCCCTTGTGTGGCTTGACTCTGTGTGCTGCTGGTACCCTGCAGCTGTCTGGGTTCTCCCAAAGGCAGTTCCTGAGTGGGGCGGGGGCTTTAACCCTCCTGTTTCGCCTCTCTAAATTCCTGTGTGTGTTTTGTTTGTACAGACCTCTTCTTTCAAGTTGACTTTTTGTGTCAGGATGTATGTCCCTCCTCTTCTTCCAGTTTCCCATGGTTTCTAATTGTGTTTTTCCGCAGTCTCATGACTCCTCCTCTATCCAGCCATGTTGAAATCCTCCATCTTCACAAAAATGTTATTTTCTTTTCAAACTTAAAGCTTAATCCTAAGCTTAAAACCTGCCTGGCACTGTGTAGTGACTCAGGAATGGTTACTGAGTCTTAGCTGAACCTGTAGATCACACACTGGGCAATTACAGGACAAGTTGCATTGCTTGCCAGATTCAGTTCCAAACCAGTCACTTTTGCATTCTGTGATCATCCAGGGGTGACTGTAGTCCATAGGCTATAATGCAAGTTATGCAAAATCGCCTTGATTAGAACTATTCAAAATTTTAAACCAAGGAAGAAAACTAATATACTTGTTTTAGTAGTGAAGCCTTGAAATGTTAAAGAAAACAATATGTTCTAAATTAGAATAAAACCTTCCATGTTTGGATTCAGCATTATTATTAAAAAACTCGGAAGAAAGATAGGGGATCCAAAAAAGTGCCTTTGTGGTCGTAACCATACTATTGAGATGAAAAAGAAAGTTAGACATGTCTTAGAGGACTAGTGTGTGTCTTATAGTGGCTACTCAAGAAATATTTTAAATGAATCCATTGTTTTAACTGGGTATATTGGAATAGATTACAGGCTGTATTCATCTCTACCAGATTGGCAGAACCTAGGAACAAGCACTCTGGGTTATTAGTGTGTGACATGAATGGAGATGAAAATGACAAGCCTAACCAAAATGGCCCATGAAATAACTTAAAAATCCCTTCACGATAGTATAATGAGAAGCAAATCTGATGAGATGCAGATGAATGCAGACAGCGTCCAAAGTCTTGCTTTTCCTGATGTAAAATTAAATGAACAATGGATGTAATTTATCTAATACAGTCAGCTCCTCACCCATAAAGATGCAGCATTTTATTTAAAATCCTAGTCCCAACACATTCTTGCTGGAGACCATGGCATCTCAGAGACAGGCTGCAAGGAGGCGGAGGTTTTGTGCTGTGATTGCCCCGGGCAGGAGAGGGCAGCAGGGGCTGGAAGAGCAGAGAGGACTGCAGGTCTCAGAGCTGCTTCCTGGGAGGGCGAAAGGCCTTTGGGAGGGAGAAGACAGAAGATAGGGAGCCCTCAGGATTTATTCCTTGGGAAAAAAGTGTGGCTTCCGAGGTCTTGTGCAAGTTTTGTCAAGCGTGTGCGCACGTGTGTGTGTGTGCATGTGAATTTGTGAGTACGTGCATATGACCACATTTAGGAGTATGTAAGTGAGCATGTCTGTTGTGTGATAAACTAAGGCGGCTTTCTGTGTTACGTGTTGGCTTTCATGCCTGAGGTTGCTGTTTGTCTAACACCAAAGCCAGAGAGAAAAAGAAAAGTGAGAAGGGAGAATGCGTTTTCTGGGTGCAAGTGGAGTTTCTGCCTCTCGATTTGGTGCTTTGACTTCTTTCTACTTCAGCTTCTTCTTGGAAGAATGAATGTGCCAGCCTCTACACCCCGTCAGGCCTACAGTCATAAATCTGGAGGTTAAATTTTCTTTGACCATGCTGTCTTCTTTGGGACATCCTTTGATTCCTTTTCCAAGGAATAGAGACAGCCTGAAATTCTGTGCCAGTTGTCCTGTGGCCACTGAGGGAGCTAAAGCAGGGGCTTCTGACATACAGGGAGCCTTGAACTTGTTCATCAGTTTGAGACCAAGAGGAATCTGCAAACTTCTATTACGCATTTTATTCTGATTCCTACAATGTTCTTATGCTTATCTTTTCCCCAAATAATTCCTAAAACGGAACTCTGTTCTCAAGTTTTACTTCAAATTCTGAAAGTTTCATTACTTACTTTATTAATATCTCTGTATTAGAGAATGCAAGGGATCGTAAAAGTTATAAAATAAATGTAAAATCAGGGGCTTGTGCTCATTTTTCCATTGTGGAGCTAAATTACTTATAGTTTGTATTAAAATTATTGACTGCATTTACTGCTTCTTAAAAAACTGCTAAAGCTTATGTATTTTGAGCTTTGTTTTTATGAATGATGCAAAAATATACCAAGAGATCAATTAAACTATGTAGCATGATCAGCACTAGAAAAAGAAATATTCCTTCAACGATTGAGTTAAAAAAAAAAAAAGCTCTCTCCTGTTTCATTTGTAGACTGGTTTGGCTGTGATGGTTTACAGTTAATGAGAAATTTATGTATAACTTTGTAGAAATGGGTGTTTTTAAGCTTTGAAACTAGGTAGCATGTAACTGCCTCTGATCTCTAGGCTTATCTTTTACTGTGATATTTCTGTGCTTCTTGCACTAATAAAATATTAACATGGTGAGCTGATTGTTTTGGTCAGCAACGAATTGCTCAGCGTAACTACTCTTTTCTTCATTTGATAACATGCTTTTAACTAGGCAGAACTGTCTAAAACAATGCCGTGTTCTTCTCCTTTTTCATTTCCACTCTTGCTTTCTGGTTGCCCATTCTAGCAATACAAGACCAAGTCCAGCTACAAGGTTTTTGCAGCAATCCCTACAAACACATTGCTTTTGGAACAGAAGGTTAGTGTTGATTCAAAAGCAGAGTGAATTTTACGTTTCTAATTTTGGCTATGTTGTGTTTTCTAAGATTTTATTTGGGAAAATTTATTTTTAAAGTTCTGCCTTTACTAAAATAAAACATTATTAGGGTGATTTGATGAAAGCATTTTGATTAATGTAATTGGAGATATGATTGATCTATCATAGAGATCAGGTCTAAATTTAGAGGTGCCTGGCCCCCTGCAGGAAGCTTGACTCTGAGTTGGGTGACTCTGTACCTGTCTTTTGGAATTTTAAGTATTTGCTACACTCAAGAACTTTCACCTCTGTGCATAGCGATCAAGAGTCAGGGTGAAATGGGCTGTGTGGGCAGTTGCCATCTTGGTAAGTGCCTGGTCAAGACTTAATGACTAACAATGGACTCCACATCACCATGTGGATACTCAGCTTCACCGTGGGTCACAGATCCTAGTGTGAATTAAAACACAGTCCACTCTTGCCGAGCACTGTTCTTACTCCCTGAGGAGGAGGGAAGGTTGAGATCATGTCTTCTGACCCAGTGACTTTCACATGGCTCTATAGGACATTTTGTCTTAGGCATCATTAATTATAAAATCATAGGATGTTACTTCAGGAGGTGAATTAAACGAGTCTCCTGCTAAATAAGTGCATTACATATGCTCAAAGGAAGGTGCATATCAAAATCAAGATGAAATCCATGAGCAAGCCTGTGAAATGATACACTGTGCATATTATTCTTAGCTGATTTATCGACTCTAGGTATCTATTAGTGCATTATATCCACTTACCTCCTGTACTTAGTGTTTCAAATATGCTATCATTTGTCAAAAGGTTAAATTTTCCAAGCAGGTGGTATTTCTGTCACTTTTTATGAATCTACATTCTTGTTCTTTAGCTCGATCTGGAGAGTAAAACCTCCAGATTTAGCTATTGTCTAAAACGTAGAAACTGTTGGTAGTAACATCTATGTGAGCAGTAAATAAACAACACTTCTTGTATGTCTCTATGTATGATACTTGTAAGTCATCGCCGTGGTCTAAAACCTGTCTTTATGGATCTAAATGCCTTGCTCTAGAAGGTCATGGGGCTGCAGAGACATCTGCAGTGTTCTCTAGATTGTGTCCTGAGTTTCTACCGTTTGTAGTGTGTCAAAAGGTGAGATGGGACAGAATGTCAGGGACTGTGGAAAGGCACCCTCCACGTCCCTCCTCTCACTGTGTGGGGACCTCAGAGCGACTCATGGTGGCAGTGTTCTCACATTGCAGATCTCCTCCTGTTGTCTGTGAGGTCGCTGGGCCTGGTCATCAATGTCCTCCTTCATGGGCACAGGGAACTGCTCAGCAGCAGTGAGCCAAAGAGGAGCTCAGCACCTCTGGTGCTTCAGGACACCTCCCTGTGCATGGCTGCCTGGAGCAGCGCCTTTCTCCAGGTGGTTAATTTTCTGTTTGGAAAGCCAGTCCTTCCTAAAAGGCTCCCATGATCCAGGCTGGGAGTCAGGGTTGCTTCTGAGCTTGCTCACCAGCTGCCTTCCCTTCCAGTGACCTGGATCTCAGGGGCTCGAATCCTCCAGACCTTACACATGAAGAATCAGTGGTGTGATTTCTAATTCCATCACAGACACACTTCATAAGTGTGTATGATGATATGGATGTATTTTCAACCAGCATAAGTCTATATGAGACAGGCTTTCTGTTTTTCATTTAAATAAAATATTTTTTGGAAAAATTATTTTTATTTTGATGCAACTAAATTATAAATACCATGATACCTAATTTAAAATAATGTTAGGGGTAGGGGGCAATGGAGTACTGCATAAACACTCATGAAAGCAAGTGTCTTTTGGACAAGGTAAATGGTTTCAGGACTGCAAATATTTGAATTACTCATAAGTAACAAGATATAATAATGTTTTTTCTTCTTCAGATCTTTTCTATAGTTTTACATATTTTTTTACAAAGCTTTTCCAGGGTATGTGTCACTCACTGAAACTAAAGGTGTTTATTTCTGAAGTGAGTGGGAAAATTAAGACTATCCTCTTCAAAATTTGAACTGGAGAGAAATCAATAGTTTGGAACATTTCCATTCTCAGAAGCTTTTCTGAGATTCCTTTTATATCACACAGAATGTAGCTGTGAGACAGGATCAGATTGTAGTCTCATTATAATACTCAGGATTCACACAGAAGAATGCCTAGAAGACAGAACTCATATATAATTTACATCTTAAATATTTCAACGGTTAATTATCCAGCCAGATTATACCCATGCTGGATACTTAACACTACGTTTTGTTCCATAGTATGTTGTATAATTAACCAGGATCTAGAATTACTTTTTGAAAAGAGTACTATTTTCAAAAGCAAGATTTTCTGTAAACTGAAATACGGTAGAGCATACAGTGGAACGGGAAGCTGTCACTAAATTGCCGGTGTGGTTTCAGCTTTAGTCACCCCTGGATGAAACTCATTATGATCGAAAGAAGCCCTCTGGTTGGCAGAGGCCATGGTGTGTTGGGCCTTCTGCTCTGCAGTTCACTGTTTGTATCCAAACTTTAATTTACAGCTTATTCCACATTCTGTCATTTCCCCCGGGATCATTTATTTCAAGAAGCATTTTTGCCACAGGTCTTAACTAAGACTTTATAGGAAAAGATAAATGTAAGGTCTCACATTTTAATGTGTTGACATTCAGGGTTTCAGCCTCAGCTCTTGCCTGTAATCATCCTGTCTCGTTTCCTTGTGAGGATTAAGGACTCTAGAGCAATCAAATGACTCTGCAGAAATCAGATCCACTTGGATCTGGGGTTCCCTGGACTCTGTTGTAGCATACTCAGGAGTATATTGAAGTTTGTATACCTATTAACTCTGATGTGGACTTATTTTTAGTCTTAATGCTGACACTGCTGTCTGTTTCAGAGAATGTTAATGTTCTCTCTTTTATTGGTTAATTTTTCTGCTCATCAGAGTCTGACAGCAAGAGGCAAATGTTAAAATTAAACCGAGAGTGCACATTAATAATGCAAGTAAATAGTTCACTCTTTTGATTGGGTGATTGTTTTAAGGAAACAATCAAGGGAAAAGTGTTTATGTCACATCAAATGATGTGCATTCTTATTGCCTTACAAGTCATTAATATTTTTTCACGAAAGAATCATTTTTTCCATTTAAAGTAACTCCAGTTTTCTATGCATGATTTTATACCAACAGAATAAATGTTGTAAGATTAATTAAGTGAAAAGGTGGATCCCTCATGGTAGAAAGGATAGCTGTTTTGAAGATATAGTAAAAACCGTGGTATAAAAATAGAAAGCAAAGCTCTGATATATCTTGTAGGTTGTCAAATCTGTTTACTCCAAGTTGTCTGTCTGATTTTTTACAGCATGAGTTGCTCTATTCCAGTCTGATTAAACATATGTCCTCAGGCAAGACTACTTTAAGATCTCTGATCTCTGCATGTCTCAACATTGTCTACTCTAGAGGGGCAGCACTTAATTTAGATTAGTGCAGGCACACAGACGTGTTCCCAGTGTGCTTTGGCTGTGAGAATGTGTCCCGGGCTCTTAACCCACCCACCCCGTGGCGTTTCCTCCTGCGGATGTGCGGGTTCTTTTCTCTACCATGACCCTTTCAAGGAATACAGTGGTCTGAAGTTAAATGTTCATTGGAGGAATCGGTTTAGCGTGGGGCTGGGTAGGCAGGGCTGGGTATTTCATCCACCAGCATCTCAAAGCAAGCTTTTACTCATGGGGTTGTGAAAATAAAATGGCCCTTGAAGAAATAATAAAAAGGATTATTTGGGTAGAATAAGCCTCCTCAGTTCTGTCTCAGGCTCCTGCTGGAGGGAAGTCCGTGCCTTTCAGACTTGGGCCCACAGCGATCGGCCGAACACGTGGACCCCAGCTGCAGCCTCTGCTTCTCTGCAGCTGTGATGTGCTCAGCGGCCGGCAGGCAAAGTGCGGTGCTAAGTGCCTGGAAGAGCTCGCTGGCTCCTGCTGTCAACACCGTTTCACTCCTTGCCCAAGTGCGTTTAAACCCTCATTACGTTAGAGTGAGGAAGATGTTTTCTTGTTATGAGCAACAGTTGAAGGGAGCCTGAGATGGTGTTGCTCTGAGAAAGCGTGGAGCAGCCAGGAAGAAGGAGGTGCGCTGGAAACACCCACCTGACACCCTTAATTACACGAAGAAAACGGACGGTTCCCCTGCTTTCAACGTCGAGGGGATGGGTTTGAAACTAGTTGTGATAGTTGAAAAAGTAAACACACAAAACTTCCTTTTGTGGGGGTAGAACAGACATTTAGTCATCCAAAGCTCTGGACCTGAAAACATCAGGTAGGGTTTGTAAATTCTGGAAGTTTTAAATCAGTCATGTGAAAAGAATCTTTTGCAAAATTCTTAGACTTTTTTTTTTTTTTTTTCTTGAGACAAGCTCTTACTTTGCAGTCCAGGCTGGCCTTGAACCCACTGTGTAGTCCAGGCTGGCCTGGAACTTGAAGCAGTCCTCCTGCCACAGCCTCGCAGGTGCTGGAATTACAGGCATGCGCCACCACATCTGGGTTCTTAGATCTTAAAAAAACCTGTACTTTTATAAATCTACAAATGTCCTTGATTTTCTTTCCTGATTTAAAAGCTGGATTCTGTTTGGACCTGAACCCACAAATAAATTATCTGAAAGCAAGAGTTATTCTTCTGAGAGTATCTCTAGTTCTACAAATGGTTTTGTATTCCTGAAGAAAGTGTCTGCCATCCTCAGGGAATTCATTGTACCAAATGGCAAAGCAGAGGGGCGTTTAGCTTAGCGTGAATCCTCTTAGAGGGCACATTTGATCATTACTAAACTATGATAACTCATGCGTGAAATGTTTGAAATTGAATTTGGGAGCTAGGCTAGGCAGAAGGAAGAGTTTACTGATCCTTTTAGATCAGTCTCTCTTTGGAGGCAGCTTACCATCTCACTCCTCTTAAATTACAACTAATTCATCCCATCTCCAGATTTTTAGAACTTAATCCTATTCTCTAAGGGAGCAGTTTAGATTCAGTACATTTGATTGACAATACAGTCCCATCAGAGGCGCTCCCCTTAGGTGGGAACACCTATTGTGATTGGTTGATTGGCATATTTTCTTAAAAGGATGAAAATATAATTTGCAAAGTTTTTCCATGGTGATCAGCACTTAATTATAATCAGTACAGAATTCAGAGACCATTTTCTATACAAAGTAGATTTAATAAGTCCCTTTCTAAAATTTGTGTCTCAAAAGGTAGGTAAAACATAAACATCTCCAATGAGAATATTTTGATAAGTGATCTGGATTAAGAATCTTTAAAAAATAAGATTAAAAATATCTCATGCCTCAATTGCTGTAGTACAATTTGATGGGAAATTTATCCCTCCTAAAATGTTTTATTGAAGAATATCTTGAGAGATTTGTATCCACAATGATTAAATCTAAAGAACACTTAACAAACTACTACTAGCTAACTTGTCACAAAAAAGCATCCCATAGCCAGAATGGATTATAGATGGAAATTTAAAATATTTTCTTTAAAAAAACCCAAACTTTTTGATAACAGAAAAAGAAGCTACTTCTTACGGCTGTTAGTGAAGTGACTCAAGAGGATCCATTTGACAGTAACTTCCAGTCAACTAAAAGCTAGTTCTAGGAAATTCCATGTCTATTTAGCTCAAAATAAGCCATATTCCACCACACAGAATTTTAATAAAAACTGAATACTTGTTCCATTTAAAGTTTCAGGATTATTACTTAACATACACTATTTTCTTTATATGTTCAGTGGACTGAAGTAGATAATTTTGATGTTCTTTGAGTGAAGGTCAGTCATTCAAATAACCTAATAAAAGTTATTTTTAATTCTTGTATTTCTCATTGGCATCTTTATTCATTATTTAGTGTTAATGTTTTCAGCAAAAAGCTCAGTGCACTGAGGTGCATGGCAGGCGGTGTGTTGCCCAGTCAGGGAGTAACCCGCACTGCCCAGGAGGGCCAGGAGAAACATGGTAGAGGGGTCTGATTGGGACTTCAGGAGGAATAGGAGTACTACAAGGGAATGGAAATCTGAGGAGAGCGGGTAACGTGTGGAACGGATGATCACAGCCAATTCAGAGAACTCCAGTGGCTCTTTGTATCAGGTAGCAGCAGCACAAGTGAGGAGGGGTGGAAACAGCCAGAAATTCAGAGTGGCTGTCTAGGTGGTGATGGGTTGGTGGTTCGGAAGCTCACTAACGGTGGGTACAGCACTTCTACCTGTTAGGCAGGAGGAGACAGGCTCAGTGCTGAAGTAGACAGAGAACTGACATTGCGTCCCTGCCTACAAAGCCAGGGTTTTTAAGGGTTGTACCCTCAAATACGGGGGGCTAAGAAGAATCATTTGCAAAGCGAAGTGCAGAGCACATTTTGTGTTATATCAGCCTGAGCTCGAGGTAGGAAAAAAATCAGTATGTTTCACACGCTTACTCTAATGGGCTTGAAAACTGAATTCACAGAGTCTCTCTGGGAAGGAGTTTGTATGCTGAAAATTAAAATTAGTTAATCAAATAGTTTCTGTTTTTTGTTTCTGCAAGTGAAGGAGTAGCTCATACATGACCAGCTTATTTTTCAGAGAACTGATATGTTCTGGATCAAATATAATTAAGAACTAGATGAAGGCACAGAAGTGTAACCACACGCAGAGAGAGACTATAGTAGAGTCATTGTTGTAGGAAGGATGGCGTTGGATTGGCTTCAGGTTTTTGTTGGCCTTTCTCTCTTTTCTTTTTTAAAGAGTAGCCTCTTGTCTGCCTGCTGTGAAGCAGCTGAAGCTTAATAAGAAACCTGCAAACTTACTGACGAAGAATCACAGGAAAGAGTGTGAGGTTGCACAGGCCCTGGAGTGTGACCCGGGAATGCAGGAAGTGGAGGAGCCCCACATGCTGGCTTGTGGACTTGCCCATCCTGGGCGACTGCTGACCACCTGCTTGCGGTGGAGCTCAGTGGGGGGTAAAGCAGATAAACAGCTGTTTCAGCTGCTGTCCACTGCCATCCAGACAGAGCCAATTTCTGCACGTTAAAATGAAGTAAAAACTCATTCCCCAAAGCAGAATCTAAAGTCTTTATAACATCGCACTCAACCCCCTACCCTGTCATTTCTAGGCATTAAAGAAACAAAACAATATCACCATACTCAGTGGAACACGTGATTCATAGAGATCAATCTTAAGGTATTTCAGATGTTTCCAGTCACCTGGCAAGAATTTTAAAGCTGTTGTACTGTCAGAGGTATAAAGAAGAGCATGTTCATAATGAATTGAAACACAGGAACTCTTGGTACAAAACTAGAAATTTTAACTTAGAATGAAATGAAAATTCTGTCACTGACAATAAAACACTGAAAACAGGAAAAGCCCTGTGGTGGATTGGCTTTAAGAGAATCTGGAGACACAGAAGAGTCGGTGAAATTGAAGATAGATTGTTAAAAACCACTTTGTGGTGAAAACAAGAGGGAAAAGATTGAATAACTGACCTGAGTGCCAGTGATCCATGGGATTCTGGCAGATGTAATCAGCGTCTCAGAAGAAGAGGATGGAATGAAACAACTTATAGCTGGTAATATTAGCCAAATTGAGTGAGAAGTAAATGTGTATTTTGAAAAGGCTCGCAAAATCCCAGATAGTTTTAATATGAAGATAACCATGCTCAAGCTTATACCAGTCCAGCTGGTAAAAATCAAATGTCAAGAGACAGTCAGAAAGCAGAGCCACAGGAGATCGACCCCAGAGCAGGGAGCTGGAGTACTGCAGGACGACCTCTGATGCCAGAGAGTGCTACCTCCCTTCAAGAAGAAGGACAAAATAAATGGCCAGCTAAAGGAAAACAGAATTCCTAGAGAGCAGACTTACTGCAGGACATGTTAAAGGAAGTTTGCCAGGCTGAAGGGAAGTAATGGCAACTAGGAACTTGGGAGGAGGGCAGAGCATGGGAAGGGGCCACAATATTACTTTATTAAAATGTCTTTGAAATATACAGAGTCATTTAAAAAACCATAGAAGGGGAAAGGTACAACATGACTGTGTGTAGCCTGGAATGCACATGGTAATTGGATGATGAAAAAGGGTGAATTGAGCTGTATGATCGTAAGATTCCAACATGCTGTAGGAAGTATTGCAAATTTTGTGTTGCTCAAGTTAGGCCTTAACCAGAGTGGAAGAGTCCCGAGGCTAATTTCTAAGGAAATAGCTCCCACAGTGACCCAGCTAATGTTAGCAGCACTAGCTACTGCAGAGGACGAACGCTGCCGCAGCTGTAGCTCAGCAGGATCACTGCTTCCTTCCGCATCACCCTTCGGTGCAGACTGGAGTAGCTGTCCCACGTGGCCATCCTCCCACAGCAACTCCGTCATGTTAGCTCTCAGTCCTGCATCCTGCCATTTGGGGGTGAGAGCGGGGACCGTGACATGATGTGGCCACTCTGAACTGCCTTGCACCAGGAGAGACACATCACTTCTGCCACCTTAAAGAGGAATTGGTCACAGACTCGAACCTCAATTCTTGAGCTTGAGAAGACTTCACAGGAGACACTAGACAAAAACGACTTAATGTTAGAAAATAGCTCATCCCACAAATCAGAGGTTTTATTTGATTTTGTCTTTGAAATGCCTCCTCCGGTTCTTGACTGAGGTCTCATATGAGGACTATTTTGTTTGTCACTAGGCGCTAGATGCACCAGCCCAGGCTGAAAATGTCTCCCAGGACAGCTCCCGAGACCTACCCCTGGAGGTAATGACTTTGACCGCCTGTGTTTGGTTTGCAATCAGATACTCAGTGCTAACTGGCTACCTGGTTTCGATTCTTCCAGTTGTGTTTCCCTGCACAGCTCAGGCAGCAAACCGAAGAGCTCTGTGCTACCATTGATAAGGTCTTGCAGGATTCCTTGTCTATGGTAATGCCCTAGACTAGAACGTGCTATGCAAACATTGGCTTTCGCTTCATTTCCCTCTGTGTGGTATGATGCCTCTCAGGCCTATCTTTTCTTTTCTTTCTCCTTCCTTCTCTACCCCCAGCATTCTTCTGATTCTTCTTCAAGGTCTCCAAAGCAGACATTGCTGGGTTCTGAAACAATCAAAGTACGTATATATTTAATATCATTTACTGAACCTTAAGATTTTACTCTAATGATTTGAAAGCTGCAAGCCAAGGTCCAAGGCAATATAGCAAATCAGGAAGTTTATTTAGTAGTTAGTAAACAGTATGTATATTAGCAACCAGGATATAAAAAAGAGTAGCATTCCAAGTAGCTATTCCAAGTAACTTGTAGGAACTGGTAACATTTGTTTCAATTTGTTTCACTGTAGGTAGGTAGAGAAAAGGTTGCAAAGTGAAAGATAGTTCTCATTTGTGCATGGAGTTCAGACCAGCTTGAAAGCCAACCTACTGGATGGAGTACTTATGTGTTGATATCTTACGGCTGCTTGTAGACTTTGTGGTTTAGCCTCATCTCAAACCATAGCTTAACCACTGCAATTTGTAATTATTGTAATTAAAGATGTAACTGTTTCCTTCATATTGTGTAGCCATTTTCATTTGTTAGGGTAAATTTTACATTTCTACTGTTTTCTCAATTACTTATTATAACTATTCAATTTCAAAGAACATGTGGTTCTCTTTGTATTGAAATAGTTAATTTTTTGTTTTTCTTTTTGAGTCAGCCTTAGTTTATTTTTCTTCTTGGAATTAATATAAGTACATTGTCATGTTCTTTTAAAAATGGAACTTTGTGTCTGAAGTAAGTTTTAAATATACAGAATTGTTTATAACTACAGCAATTACAATTTTCAGTTGGAACATTATAGACAACTATTCACAAGTAGTAAAAAAGGGACCTCATAAGCAATCATTAATATTAAAAAAGTATACTTTAGCAGAGAGGACACATGAATAGATATAATTTCTATATTTTAAATATGTTTTGTTGTATATGCTTTAGGTCTTTTAAGAGACAATATAGATGTGTCAAAAACAGGTGTATGAATTTTAAACTGTATTTTCTGATTTGTTTGTTGGATATGTAAATAATCTGTTTTATATTAAACATAATTAGAATTAAATAATATGGGAATAATTTATATCATTGGTTTATTTAATAAATATTTAATGAGCATGTTGTTAACAAAAGCAGTATTTAAACCACTAAGTTGTAGAAAGTTTTACATTTTATATCTTAATTTGCAAATGATTTTTAGACATATTTATGAGGTATAATGTGGTTTTGAATCCCATGTGAATTACCGATCAACTCAGAGTAATTAGTGTGCGTTCTGCTTTGAACTTTGATTGTTTTTATAATATTCATATCCAGGCTCCTCTCTTCTTCCCATTTCGAGCCATACGATGTAATGATGTAATATTGTTAGTTAAATCCCCCTGCTCTTTCCTGTCACACAGTTACCGGGGACCCCTCTCTGCCCTGCCCCACCCTTCTTCTTGTGCAGATTTCTCTCTTCGCTGCTTCCCTGCCTGCTCTGCCCGAGCCTCTGCCCGGCTCTCCCAGTCTCTGGTAACTGTTTCTGCTTCCAGCTCTATAACCGCCAGGGGTAGGTTCTGCTTCGGACAGAGATCTTCCGTGTGACTAACTTCACTAACATCATGTTCTTTGGCCCCACGCGTATTGTCTCAAATAACAGTTTCGTGATTTTTGGCCAAAGGATGTGTCTACCATGTTTCCTTTCATTCATATAACGATTCACGCAGTGTGGCTCTCTATCCTGGCTGTTGTGAGCAGGAATGCCATCAGTGTGTATGCAGGCGTGTTTTTGCATGCATGTTTTATTTAGGTGGTATTCCTAGATGTTTTTTAACTGACTGGATTTATTTCCTTGTATCTTCTTGGTACCAGTATAGGTGTTTTTTCAAATTCTTTAAAAAAAAAAAAAAAAAAAAGAACTTGTGCCTGAGGTAGGTTTTAAATATACAGAATTACTCATATTTAGAAGAACAACCCTAATTTTCTTTTTCTTTTCTTTTCTTTTCTTTTCTTTTCTTTTCTTTTCTTTTCTTTTCTTCTTCTTCTTCTTCTTCTTCTTCTTCTTCTTCTTCTTCTTCTTCTTCTTTCTTCTTCTTCTTCTTCTTCTTCTTCTTCTTCTTCTTCTTCTTCCTCTCTCTCTCTCTCTCTCTCTCTCTCTCTCTCTCTCTCTTCTCTCTCCTTCCCCCCTCCTCTTTCTTTTTGTTGTTTTTCGAGCAAGGTCTCACTCTATAATGCAGGCTGGCCTTGAACTCACTTTTTAACGCAGGCAGTCCTTGAACTCACGGCAGTCCTCCCGCCTGAGCCTCCTGAGTGCTGAATTACAGGTGTAGTGTGCCACCACACCCAGCATAATTTTCATCTGGAGCATTCCAGACACATATCCAGAAGCCCAGTAGCCAGTTTGCAATGTTAAGAAATAATAGTTTATCAGAAAGGACACACCAGTTGCTACCATATAAAGAGGAAACTCTGAAGGATTCAGTTACAGCAATGAACAGTTGAGGGGTCTCTAGCACCCTAAAGCAGAGGGGTGCTGTCCCTGTGAGTGAGGAGCAGGGAGGTGCTGGAGCCCGGGCAGCACTCCTTTCAGCCTCTTGAGGGTGCCTGTGGTGGTTTCCCGGGGTGGCTTTGCCGATAATAACAGTGTCACACGCAGTGTGTAGAGGCTCCCTCTCCACACCCTGCCAGCACCTGTCGTTTATCTTTCTGGTAAAAGCTGTCATGGTGTGCATGGTCTCTGAGGTTTTTACTTCCCTAACGATTAGTTATACTAAATATTGTTCACATATCTGTTTACCATTTGTAGGTTTGCTTTTAAAAAATATTTTCTACAAACATTATTAATGTCTATTAAAAGATCGGGTGTGTTTTTGCTGTAAAGCTGTTGCTCATACCTCTGGCAAGGGCCATTTTCAGATGTGTAGTTCGCAAATAATTTATCCCCTTCTTTGGGTCCTCTATTCTCCTGACTTCCCTTGACATCCACAAACACTGATTAACAGAGACAGTCGTAGTAAATACTTATTTACTGTACAGCTGGGGTTCTGAGGCTCAGGGAAGCCAAGCAGACAGGCAGACCACAGGACATACTCTGTAGTAAACAAGAGATAGAGTTGAAGCCACACCCCATCAGGGACAGGAGCCAGCCTCAGGGCTGGTGACGTGCAGACCTGGGATTGTAGATGTGCGCACCATGCTCAGATCTATTTTCCGGTCAGTTTTAAAGCTTGTTAAACTTTTAACGTTCTGAATTTTTCACTTTTCTGCTTATTTTTTAGTCAAGCTAGGTATATATACGCCATTTTTAGTATTCTTTTGAATTTTGTCAGAATTTTTATGTTGATATTTTTCTTGATCTCTTCACTTAATATTATGTTTTCAAATTGCATCCATTTACTTACAAATGCTTCAGGTTCTTCTTCATGGCAGGGTAGAGCTCCATTTTTGTATAAATGCCACATTTTTAATCTGTTGATAGACATATACACCATTTTCAAGATTAACTGTTACAAGTTACGCTGCTATAAACATGGGTATGCACATATCCATATAATATGATGACGTTAATTCTTTTAGTGAGATACCTAGAAAGGGAATAGGTTGATCCAACGAAATTTCTAGTTTAGTTTTTTGAGGATCTCCGCACTAACTTTCATAGTGGTTGTCTTGTTTTATATCCCCCCCCCCAACATTTGTTATTTTTGATTTCTTGATGGTAGCCATTCTTTCTGGAGTAAGATTTTTATCTCAGTGCAGTTTTAATTTGCATTTCTTGAGTGGTCAGCAGTATTCAGCATTTTTTCATATATTTATTGACCATTTATGCTTTTTTTTCTGAGTAGAGACTGTTCATTTCAGTTGCCCATTTCTTGACTGAGTTACTTATTTCTGGAGGTCTAATAGTGTTAGTTCTGTGTATATTTTAGACATTAGTTTGTGTCCAAAAAATAGCTGGCAAAATTTTTTCCCAGTCTGGAGGTTGCTTCATTCCTGGTGGCTTCTTTTGATACAGATTGGCTGTTTAATTTAACGTGACCCCACTGATTGGTTCTCAGCATTATTTCTTGTGGCATTGGGTTCTGTTCAGAAAGCCATTGCCTGTTCCTATGTTTACAGGAGTTTTACCTATTTTATCTTCCAGCCACTTGTGTGTCCATTTTAATGTTTATGTTTTTGATCCCTTTTGATTTCAGTTTAGTACCTGGTGAGTGAGATATGGGGGTCTAGATTCTGTCTTATGCATGTGGATATCCAGTTTTTCCAGACCCACATATTAATGAAGTGATTTTTCTGATAGTTCATTTTGTCCTTTTGTCACATACCAGATTGCTGAAGGTGCCTGGTGTAGTCTTTGCTTTCTCTGTGCTGCTCATTGATCCTCATGTCTGTTTTTTTGCCAGTAAGATGCTGTTTTGATGAAGCATGGGATTGCCATGCCCTTGCCTTTGCTTTTGTTGCCCATGACAGCTTTTGGTATTCTAAGTCCACATAAATTTTTGATTGTTTTCTACAGATCATCTGTAAGAAATGCTTTGGTATTTTGATTGAGATTGCATTTAAATCTATGTATCACTTTTGGAAGTACAGCCATTTTGATTATATTGGTTCTGCCTATTCAGAAATAGGACATCTTCCCATTTTCTGATGTCCTCCTCGATTTCTTTATGTCCTTCTTGATTTCCTTTTCCAGAGCAGTGTGATTGTAAAGGTAGAAGTCTTTCACTTCCTTGCTTAGGTCACTTCCTAAGTGTTTAACTTTTCTTATTGCTATTATGAACGCTACTGTTTCTTAGTTTCCTTCTGAGTTCATTATTAATATACAGGAATCCTATTGATTTTTGAGTGTGTATTTTTTATTGTGCTATTTTGCTGCATTTGGTTATTAATTCTAGGAGTCTTGGTGGAATATTTTTGGATCTTGTAAATAGACAATCATGTTGTCTGCAAGTAACGATTCCTTGACTGTGTCCTTTCCTGTATGGATTGTTTTCTTATTGTGCAGATTTGTTTCCATTCTACTTATCTGTTAGCTCCACCTGGTGCATTCTTTCTGTTGGACATTTTGGCATTGCTGGGCCCACCATCTCTTTCTAGGATATCTTTGAGAAATTTTTGCACTGTTGGTTTGGTGGTCATAATCTCTTTAGGTGCTCTTTCTCATGGAAATATCTTATTTCTCTTTCAATTTTGAAATATAGTATCACAAAATGTATCAGTGTGGTTTAGAAGTTGTTTTCCTTTAGGGACTGAAACACTGCGCTCCAAGCTCTCCTTGCCTTAAAGTTTTTCATTGAGAAGTCTGCTGTAATTCCAATGGGTTTTATAGATGATTTGTTCCTTTTTCATAATAGCTTTTAAAATTCTGTTCTTTTGTTGGATTTCTGGTATTTTAATTATGTGGTATGTAATATTTTTTCTGGTCATAGCTATTTGGAATTCTATATGTCTCACTTATGTGTATGATAAAATTTTTCCATGTCTGGAAAGTTTTCTGCTATTATTTCTTATAAACATGCCCCGAAGACATGAGATGTTTTCTGATTGTTCAGTAATTCCAATTTTCTTATGTCTTTGAGCAGTCTGACAGCTAACAGACCCATTTTTCGTGTTCTTGTTGTTTTTAAGGTATCTTTCAATAAATGGTCACTAACTACAGTCCTGTGTTGCAGACTTGATACTCTGTCCTCACACTGGTCACTTCTGCTGTCCACACTTTTGGTGGTAGCTTTAAACTCCTGATTTCTGTTTGGAGCTTTTTTATGGACTCCCTTTCTTTTTCATGCTGGCCTTCATTATTTTATATCTCTTTCTTTGGCTCCTTAGATTTTGTTAGTGTCTTCTCTAGACTTGCTGATCATTTTTTCCCATTAGAATCATTACGTGCTTAGCTACATCTTTGAATTTGCCAAATACCTTATAGAGCTGCTGTGTACCTACACCAGTACCCCTTCAGCTATTTCTGCTGTGTGGCCTATGATTTCCTTTCCTTTAGTGCTCTGTGGAACAGCTCTGGGGAGCTGGGACTTTTGGGGGCATTTTCCTGCCTTGTCTTCTCATGTTTCTATGTTTGTTGGTTTGTTTTGTGTGCTGGGTTGTGCTGGTGACTGTGATGGTGGCTTTGTTGTGGAATCAGCCTGTTGACGTGGCTGACTGTTGGTGTAGCCTCTTTGGCCCAGAGCCTGGTTGTTTGAGATTGGGCCACAGTGTTGTTTATGACTTCCAGGCTGTCCAGATATTGGATGAAATCTATACAGAGAAAACCAGTTGTGGGCACCAACTATTTCACCCTGGCCATAGTGACAAACTCTAAGCACTGTTCATGAAACACCCTTAATGAAAACAAATAGATCTATGATTGTCATGTGGACACTTAGGTGACCCAAATTTTGCCTGACAGTAGATAAGACTCGTGGCCTCTGCTGTAAAGGGGTAGTGTATCCTTCCTTTACTCCAAGTACATCGCATTCTTCTCCCTACATTTTTGTCTTTTAAAGAATAAACACATAAAAACAATCATATAGTCGGTAGTCTTTGAGTCTGTCCTATGTAGAAGGCATCTGAACTCAGTGCTGGTTCCTGTATCAGTAGAGCATCCCTTTTTATTACACTGTTCTTTATCTACTCACCAATTCCTGAAAGATCAGGTTCGTTCTAAATTGATACAGATGCTAAAAAGATTTGTGAATAAGATTTTGGATGGACATATGTTTTTATTTCTCTTGGATTAATGCTCAGGGTCAGAATGGCTTAACTTTCCTCTTCCACAAAACATGGTTAAGTGTGATTGTTTTTCAGTCAGCTTCCGAGAAAGCAAATTTATGGGCTGTCCATCTTGTTCTGTTTTGCTTATTACTTCTGTGCATTCTCATTTGCATTTTGTCTTACTCCTTTTTGTACTGGAATCTGATTGTGTGCTACAAATTCCATGTGAAACTTCATTCATAGAAATCACTCCAGACCTCAGGTGATACATGAATCTTTTCTTTGCTTATGTCACATACTGGGAACCCTTATAAAGAGGCATTGCCTTAATTGAAGACTTTGAGTGTATATTTTGAGTCAGTCATTTTCAGATAACTTGAGGCCGTACTGAAAACTAATTGGAATCTTTTGGTTCGTTCTTACTTTTAAGCCACAATATATTTTTGGTAGGTTCTATTCTGATTTTTCGCTTTTGTCTTCCCATGCATTTAAGACATCAAAACTCAGAAGAACAGATTTCCAAGCAGCCCATCACAGCTGGGTAACATCTCCAGAGCCATAACTTCTAGCTTCTCTCTTCAGAGTCCTGTCTTGTCTTCATTTTGCCCAGTAAATAGTCAGTCTTCTTCAAGCTCACTGACGTCTTTAATAAAATATTTTTTCAATATTTTGCTCTCCTTTTGAATGGAAGAACTGCTTTGAATTCCTGTCTACAGTTCTCAAGGGTAGTCCCCACAGGAAGTTTTGTTTCTTTGCTCTTGTTAGAATGCTCTTAGCACAGAGCCAAATCCCTCATCTCTTTTAATTCCTGTCTGCATGCAGCTATTTGAAATGTAGTCACCCAGCACTCTAGGTCTCCTTAGCATCGGGATGGCCTAGAAAAGCACAAGGTGTTTGGAGGAGGCAAAGCAAATTTCCTCTGGAAGAATATATTACCCTAAGATTCACATTATTTCGACTGTTTTTCATTGCATCTGCTACCATCTAACTTATAATTTACTTATTATTGTGTTGTGTTTTTCTCCTAATAAAATATAAGCTTCACAAGGGTAGAATGTCTTTGTCTCTCTTGTTTGTTAATTACTAATGTCTTCGTTACATTTGCTACTAATTCCCAAGGGTGGAGAAGAGCGTCCTACGGTAAATGCCCAATAAATAGTTGCTGCACGGGAGGATGGCTGGAACTGCCGTCCCACCTCGGAAGCTGGGCCTCTGTTGGAAAACAAGCAGGGGCTTCCTGCATGGTGTTGAATGCACATTTGAAGTTCAAAATCATTGCTTCAAAATAAAATCAATTAGTATATTTGAGAGAGTTTCCCCAGGAATGTTTCTCTGCTTCTGAGGATCAAGTGCGGGACAAAAACAAGTTAAGGCCCATCGTGAGGTTTTGCTTTTGTTGCTTTACAAGTAAACTTCTCATGAGAAGAGAGACACAGAATAAATGATAGTATTAAATATAAGAATATGAAATATGTTAGCTAAAGCCTAACAAAGCCAGAGTGAAGCTTGGCAGGTTAGTGGCTCGGAGGTCCCAGTGCAGCAGACCCAGGAGAACTGGAGAGGTTCAGACTGAGCAGGAGGAAGAGACTTAGGAGCCAGCGTGCTGAAAATGACTGAGGTTTCGGTTTTCCACGTCATTGGTGAAGTGAAGTCCAGGAATAGTGTTGGAAGTGATGGCTGAAATAGAGTGAATGCGAGTGTCTGGATTTGAGCAACTCGAAGAACTGAGAGAGAAGACATTTGTACATCAATTTTGAAAGAGTCAAAAATTATGGTAGAAATTATGGTAGTGCTGTTATGAACCTTAAATTGCCATCCTCGGTGTCTAAGGGGAAGTTACCAGAAAGCTGTTAGGTTATAATAATGAAAAGAAAAACAGAGAGATATGGTTTAGTAAAATAATTTGCAGAGAAATTAGGCTTGGAAGTCTCATTCAATCCAGTTATTCTACTTCTGGGTGCTTTCCCAGAAAAATTGAAAATGTCATGCCACAGCAATACATATATACCAGATTTATAGCAGCACAATTTGTGATAGCTAAATCTTGGAAACAACCCGAATGCCCATCAACTGAGGGATAGATAAAAAAGATGTGGTATTTTCATATTATGAAATATCACTCAGCTATAAAAAAGGATAATCTTTTATAGGTAAATGGAGGCAACTTGAGACCAGACTCATAAGTGAAATAAATCAAACTCACATTTATAAATATCATATTGTGTCCCTAATGTAAAAAAAAAACTGAAAGAGTAATAAGATCCAAAATGTACAATAAATACTGTAATAATGAAAGGGAAAGAAAGTGCTCAAAAGGAAAGAACTGGGATAGGGGAAAGGAGAAAAGGAAGAAAGGCAAACATTGTATGCATGTAGGCATACACATATAAATGTGTATGTATACAAGAGAGATAAGTATACTATCTGTTTATCAAAAAGAACGGTTTGTGCTGTCACTGTTTGATTGTTTGATTTCTTATCTTGTAACCTGAACTACTCCTAAGATAACAATATGAAATACATTAATTAGTGTTAATTTCTTACTACTTTTTGAAATTCTGTATCATTTCTATCCCTTTTTACTGTTTTGATTTTTAAAATAAAAAGATAAATTTGCAAAGAAAAATAATTTTACTTAAAGGAGATAGAAAAATCTCAAGAAAAAGATGAACTTATGCTAGAAGCTGAACTTCTTTTTATTTGCTGATTTTTTTGAAGCATAATTACTTCTATTTTCATACAGACTCCTCCAACTCTTCCAAGAGCAGCCGGTCGAGAAACCAAATACGTAAGTACTTTATAATTATATGTATTATTCTTTTATGGAATAGACTCTGTTATACAATCATTCCATTATTGATTTTTTATAAATGGAAAGGGGTCTGTTGTAGTCAGGGGTTGTGAGGGGAACAATTAGAATCAGGACACAGAGTTTATAATTTTATTTTATGATGGCCACCCAGTGTTAAACACAGAAAGTGCAGGAAATCTGTCCACAACATCAAAGACTCAGGATATTCAGCCAAGGGCCTGGATCCCACAGCAGTGTCCCACATGAGTCCAGATAAAAACCCAGAGCCCATGACAATGCCTCCCATGAGTCCAGCTGCAGGTCCAGAGCCCACAAGAAGGGCTCACATCAGTCTGTTTTATGGATCTATGCTGGGAAGGCCCAAAGGTCAGCAATAGAAGCTAGAAAGTCTAGGCCAGTGGGGTGAAGGAGCTGTGCTGGTGGGTTGAGAGTTTACACTGGAGCTGAGAAGTCACATTCAAAATAAGAACCAGGACTGCCCTGAAAAGCACCATTGCCATCCTCAGCAACATGGAGGTCCCCAGCTCCTCCGACGAACAGTTGAGTACATGCCAGGAAGCCAGTAGATTAAACGGCACATGTCTTCCCCTCTGGAGCCGGGAAGTGATGTTTGATGTAAGAATCAAAGCTCCCTCAAAGCGAACCACAGCCACTCTCACCGACAAGATCCCAAGCTCCTCCAATGACAATGGTCAAACTCACACTGGGGAAGGTAGTCATGGCGAGTTCCTCCAGGAGAACCAGTGGCTCAAACAGCAACACTTAGAGAAACCCACAGTGCCTAGCTTTTCCTTCTCCATTTCTCTATGCAGGCAACTTTCCTCAGGTGGAGCATCTATGCTCAGCACCACGCAGATTTCATTCAGCATGGTTAAGTTGACCACAAGTTTTTAATCCTTAACAAACCCACTTTGACTTTTCATTACCTTGATTTAAAGCCCTGTATTACTCTCACCATCTGGTTTTTAACTGATGTTCCCCTATTCTGTTTTGCTGGATAGTATCAGGTTCGAAAGTTTAGGCATCAGCTGTGAAGATAATGAGATTCATTATGACGCCCATTCTTGTTGACTTTTATCTACTTTTGAAGACCTACAATGTCTCCAATGTTTTGGTTTTGTCGGTTTTATTCTTTACTGTTTTGTTCAATTGTATTATAACTAACGATATAGGCAATTCTATTAGAGATAGCGGGAGGCATTATGGTAACCATTGTTGATCACCTTGTATTATGTTTTTACATTATCTATTATGTCCACCCTTTTGACTTGACCGATTCTGTTCTGTTATGTCACATTTGGTTTTACTCTCTTCCAAAAAAGTAATAAGAACCGTGGGAGCAATGAAACCCAAAATGTGTAATAGTCATGGTACAAAAGAGAGGAAAAGAAAGTGCTCCAAACTATATAACTGCATGTATATTTAAGTGTATAAGATAGAAAATGATATCACAGAGTTTTATTGGATCAATGAACAGAACTGTTTGCAGTATCATTGATGGAATGTCCACTTTACAAGCTTTAATTTTGTGACTTGAACAATTATTTCTAAGATGACAATATGTAATCCATTAACTAGTGATTTCCTACTGTTCATTTTTTCTGTAAATCTGTATAACTTGCACCCTTTCCCTGCTTTTTTTTTCTTTTCTCCTTAAATAAAATTAAAAAAAAAAAAACAAAAAAAAAACAAAACAAAAAAAAAAAAAACCAATGTCTATACAGGGTCCAAACGCATTCTACTAGAATTAAAATTGTTTCCTAAGAAGGTGTTCAGCTTTCAGTCTAAAACAAATTGGTAGCTTATTTCTTTCAAACTACACATTTTTTTTCAGTACGTAGTTTTTGTCATTATCATCCAGCATAAGTAATTATTACGTGTGTATTTTGGGCCATGTTTTCATTGCAGTTTATACATGTCTGCCTTCACTTACATTTTCCTAAGGCAAATAATGAACACAGTAAAATGACTAAATTTTATCACATTCAGGAAGTTATGCTTACAGGATGTGGGCAGAAACACCGCTCAGTGCATTTCTTGGAAGCTTTCACTGCTGTTTGCCATTATTATTGGAGCCCTTTGGAGTAATACTTAAAAGGTTTCATAGGCTGGATCCAAGTTTAAACTGCCGTGTGCTTCCAGATAACTGTGTGACTTGGGGAAATCGTGATTCTACCTTGCTTGCCTTTGTTTTTCAACTTTAAAAGGGTGACGCTAATGTTCTCACTTGGTTTATGTAAGATTAGTGTTTGTCACTGTCTGAAAAGCCCTTAATAGAGTTCTGAAAGGCAGGACTTGCCCAGTAAATAGTAGTTCTTCCCTTTTGCTTTTGTTAAAACCTTCGTCTTCCTGTTTTTTCAGTCTGTCTAGAAGATTCATGATTTGAGTTGCTTGATGCTTTAGTAGTGCAGGAAAAGGAAGTTCTTTAAAGATGTGTCTATACTTTTTCATGACTAATATGCCCTATAGATCTGAGGGCCAGACCCACGAAGAGCAGCTAGAACACTGTTGTCTCTCCAGCTTTTCTCATTTACTCCTGTTTTTAGCAAAGCGCCTGATTTCCCTGATTTTCAGCAAGTTAAGAAGGGCTGTTGCTGCTACCCTTGGGGACTCTCAATTTGATAGCAACTGAGATAGTCCTGGAGGGGTCTTCGATCTCTATAGTTGGAGATAGTTTCAAATTATTCTTTTCGGTCAGTTATCAGACTTAATAAAATAGGTTAACTTTTCAACTCAGAACTTTAGTGAGAATGTTTGAGTCACTCCAAGAGAACTCTGAATCATCAAAGTTCAACATAGACTAGAACCAAGATAAACTCTGATTCAGATGATATTCTTGACCTAAATTAAATTTTGCTCTCTGGGTGAGAAGCTTTTTCCCCCCATTGTCTCTTATTCCTTGACATTTAGACTGTTGTTTATGACACCTCCTGTTTCTTGGTGCCAACTCAGGCAACACACTTGGAAGTATTCATTTGTTACATTTACTACATACTAGCTGATACATTTCTTTTAAACCAAACAATTTATTTTGAGAAGAAAAAAATGAAGTTTTAGAATAGACATATACTTTATAGGTTTTGATCTTATATGAGCCATCTGCCTTAAACACAGTTTGTCCTGATTTTTAGAAAAGGACATTTTAAAATTTTGTTTTAGAAATTTTATACTAGCTGAGTTATGGATTGCTGTTCACCTTTAGTATGAGTTGAATAGTTTTCCCTTAATTTCTCACAGTATCTTTCTCCCATGCAATCTGAAAAGTCTGTAGACTTTTCACTGACTGTCTTTACAACTTTGGAGGAAGAAGGCATCTTTTGAGTATGTACTGCCTGGTCTCAGTGTCATTACCTTTGCAGAGATTCTTAAGGTTGGTTCAAAGCAGAAATCATGCAGTCTGCCAGCTCCTGGAACACGGAGGAGGTTGGGCAAGTGGCAGACTGAAATGAAAAGGAAGGAAGCAGTTGGACGTGCTTGAGGAGAGCATTAGCAAACCAGCACTGCCTGCCCCGTCTCGAGGCGCAGGAAAGGTTTCATATGTCTGCACAGATCCTACTGGTGGTACTAATCAGGATTAGGAATCTGTAGCTGTGTTATTCAGTTATCCAGTTTTGTTCCATAATCCAATACGTATTTATCGAGTATCTACCGCGTACCAGTACTGAGGAGCCACTGGGGTGGCAGGTGTGAGCCCAGGCTGAAGTTCCTGGTCAGGAGCACGCACACCAACAGAGGAGGTAGACAGTGAGCAGTGCAATAGTAAACAGCAAGGTACTCGGAGAAATGGGGGAGCGCTCAGCAGAGAGTGGCTGATGGTAAAACAAACAAGGCGTTAATTTTCAGTGTCTGTAGATTGCCAGTGTTTCTGGAGTGGTTTAATTAAACAAGAAATTGCTGATTATGTTCTTTTTGTAGGCCTTTGGCAAAAGATTGTTTGCCTCAAGGAAAGAAAGCAAAGAGGAATAAATTAAAGAAAATCAGTGAAGATGTTTCTTTAATGCTCTGTGGAATGTGTAGTTCACAGTGTATTTTAAGATAAGCCAGGTCAGTAGACATACTGGAGTTTCAACTTATTAAAGGCAAGATTTTCTTCATTCCCTACACTAATTCAGTGGCAAGCTATTTTAAAATTACTAAATTGTGGTTCTCCTAAGTATGAGAGAAATGGAATTAGGTTAACAATATGTGGAGTAAGTGGTAATTACTCTTGAAGAGCTGACTGATTTATCATAGGATTTCAACTCATCTCTTTACTTTTCATTTGTTTTTTTGAGTCAGGATCTTGCTATATACTTTGTCTAGAGATGTTCAATTCAATAATAATAGTGTCTTGAACCCTTACCTTGCAGCTAAATCTTAATTATCTCACTTAAACCACACACCAATCCTGTGAGGTGGGTGCGATTATAAAGTCCTGCTTTGCACAGGGAAAAAACAAGTCTGAGAAATCAGAGAGGAGCAGATTTCAGGCCAGATCTGCTTCCTTTAAAAACCTCTGCCTTCAATGTATGTGTATACTTCTGGATGCTAGAATCTGATCCGTTTGTACTCGTGGTCTACATTAGATCTTAATGCCTGATAAACTTTAGTCTAAACTTGCGGTGAATAATTTAATATGTGGTCACAGTAACATTAAAATGATAGTGTTTTACTCTTTCCACAGTCTTAACCCTCTTGATTACATGTAAATGAACTCATAATTCACTAAATAATAGATGAGCAGTTATTTCTCAGGACACTCATTTATAAACAGTTTCTCCCTTTGTAAAGGAATCAATTTCTTTTAAAATTTTCATTTCCTTCTATTTTAACTGTGTTTGATTTGGGAAGGAATTTTTTTTCTTTGCATTATACTTGCCTTTGTAAATGTTTATTATTTTCATTAACTGCTACCACTATAATTCATAATCACATGTGCTTTCTTAATAAAGAATAATATCAGAAACTAGACCAAGTATTTGGATCTGTTACTAATTCATCAAAAAATGTTGATTGGAATCCATCTATTGATAACATCTTACTTCAAAACACTGTTTCAAGAATTACCTTTCAGTGCAAGGGAACTAAATGAGACAAGCTTATTAAATATTAGGTACTATACAAGGAAGCTCTCATTTTAATGAACTTGAGGGACGGAAAATGTCATTGCAATGAAATATATTGCTTCCAAAATATCACAATATATTGAAAAATGTGTCAGACTTTATTAAGAACGTTTCCCACTACATATACAGATATTAAAATAAAGGTCGCAGACTCCCGTTCAGCCGGTTTGCACTTCCTTCTTGTTGCTATGCTGAGCAACGTTCCTATGCTGGAGTGTCTCAGACACAGTGACCCCGACACAAAGGAGAACCTCAGGTAAACTCTGGGGCCAGATGCGCCACCTGAGAATAAAACTAGCCGAGTTACAGGGAAGTTGCACGCAGTTTAAGTAAGAAGTTCTCATGGATCACTTTTCTTAATGATTCAGAAGCCTTGCTGAAGTGGCCCTGTGTGTGAAGAAGGGGGTGGGGTGCTGGAAGACAGTGGCCTGTGTTCTGCTCGGTGAGGGAGAAGGGGGGATTGGATGGGACACCCCGTGTGCCTCCGCACTGCTGCCGTCATTTTAGTGAGGACACGCAGGGCTGCACAAACCCGAGGGGCTCTCTGTGTGCTTCTGCACTGCTCTCCGGGAGTAATTTATTTTTCTGTGAGTTTCAAATCCTCCCTTTTCCCTTAGTCTTTAACTTTTAGTCACTGTATAACCTAAATCTTTAACAAAGTTTCTTTTAAGTTAGAAATTTTGACGTTTGTAACTTTTCACTGCTCTGTCAGTTTTTAAAAATTAATTTCTGTTGATTTTCATTTGACACTTGTGCCTAATTCTGGGCTATGATGTAGTGTTTGCTCTGTGTGAGCATTATAGAAAGATTCAGTTATAGAAAGATTCAGTGGAGCTAATTAACATATCCATCATTCATCAGTTTATTATCCTTTTGTGTAGGAATGTTAAAATCCATGTCCGCATTAAGATCTAACGTAGACCAGGAGTACAAACGAATCCAGATTCTAGCATCCAGAAGTATACACATACATTGAAGGCAGAGGTTTTGACAGGAAGCAGACCTGGCCTGAAATCTGTAGTTTTCAAGCATGTGATGTATTTTTATTAATTACTGTTACCATGCAGTGTAGGAGGTCCCTATACTTCTCCCCTCCAGCTTAGCTGAAACTGTGCCCTGCTGACCAGTGTCTTCTCCTTTTCCTTTGGGCCCCTCTGCCCACCTCCCCTGGTTTCCAGTAGCCATCTCAGGTGCATCGTGGTAAAGCTTAAAACTATCATGAAGGAAGATGCTGGGTACTAACCACACATGAAGACAGGCAACCCACCCGTGGCATTCCGGGTGGCAGCAAAAGAGCAGCTTATGCCAGGAGAATAGTACCTTCAAAAGACTGAAAGATACCATTGACCCAGAATTCCGTGTCAATTTGAGCTCTTATTCAAGAGTCAGGACAAAATGAAACATTTCAGACAAAATCCACCTAGTAAGATTTGAGGACTCTCCTAGTATTTACCTCTAGAAGCAGGAAACTGCCCGCTGGTAGACCAGGAGACTCTAGTCAGTAAGCTGGCACTTTCATTTAGGCACTGTGGGAAAGTCCTCGGTGCCTAGTTACAACAGCGTCCCTCCAGGAACAGTACTACGTGTAACACTTGGAAATCTATTAAGAGGGCGGATCACTTACCATATAAATTCACATTTGTAAAAATTCTGATGAAAGACGTGAAATATAAGAACCAATGATGAGAAGCAGATTTAACCTACTCTTTCATGTAAACAGTATTATGACCAAATCATTTCCATTCCTAAGTCATAAAAACATTCTCATGCTTTTTATGGAAAGATACTTCGTAGAAAAAAAATCTATTTTTTTAAAGTTTGTTGTAAATAAATATAGATAGCAATAATCTTGTTATGTTTCAGTAACTTGGAATACATAAAAAATGAAATATGTAATTTCAGAAATTTCAGATGTTGTCATAATGATTCTATGAAGAAGGTGAGAAGAAAAAAGCAATATTTAAATGTGTGCTGACTGAGGGCATGGGAAAATATAGGACAATGCACCAAACTACTAAAAATTATTTCTTGGTGCCTTCTTTTTCTGTTATATTTTACAAAATCCTACAATGGCCATGTATGACTTTAATAATAAAATAATCTCAAATTCTTGAAAATAGAGGAATATTATTTTTCTGAATCACGAATTTCACTAAATATACACCGTGTTTCTGCTCTGCAGGCAAATCTCTCATCAGTGTCCTCTGCAGCCTCCGAAGGTCAGCTGGTACGTATTTTCCGCCAAGCCACAGACCTACTGCTCAAGTCCTCGTTTTCCCGGACAGCTTTGCCTGACAGAAAATGAACCGAGAATAAACTCACTACATCTAAGACTGTCCACTTACTTGTCTAACAGAAAACTACTGATGTTTTACTAAGCTGCCCGGTGATGGTTTGGGGCTGACAAACACGCACTAACCAGACAGAGACGTTACTTATTAGTAACGTGTGTAAGTGGCAGTGTTTGCAGAAGTTGGGCTGGGGAAGAAGAAAAATGTTACCTAAAGTAAGAGAAGGGAATTCATTTCCTGATGAGCAAGGTCATTTCCTGATGAGAGTGACCCCAGCAAGGTTCAAGGAAAGGGCACACCTGTAGTTTCCTGGTTTGTGGCCATGAGAAACCACATTGAGAAGAATCATAACATTAATTTCAATAATATATTTTATTTAATGCTACGTAAATGTTGTCATGTCAACAAGCACTATATAATTGGGTTTTACATGTTTTTGGGAAGAGCAGCAATTCTTTGAATGTGCTGTGTATTCTACACGCTGGTAAATTTCAGCCTAAGCAGCTACACTGCAAAGCTCAACAGAAGCTGCGCTGGGCAACACAGATCCAAACTCTAGACTGTTTCCTTCCAGATAAGAATGATATTAAGTAGGAGGACTGCTTTTGCTTATAGAGTTTTCTTTTTCTTATTCTTACAGGGATTAGTGAATTGAAACTGAGAAATAACTTTCCTGAAAATCACTGGTTAAAGATTTTCTTTATATCTTCAAAATTTATTGTTTAAAATATTATAACTTCTTGCATTTCAAGACATGGAAATAACAGATCATGTATTGATGCCTACTTTTTCCTCATTTGAGGAAACTTTTGGTGTCTTGTCAAAAAGACAACCATATTTTTATTTGTAATACAGAAAAATCATAAAAATAGTTTGTTTCTTAAAATAGCTGGATTCAAACAAAGCACTCAGACATGGTCATATTTATACATGTGCAGTATGTGTGTAAGTATGTGTATGAGTAGAATGTCTTTTGCGTGTGTGTTCGTGTGTGTGTGTGTGTGTGTGTGTGTGTGTGTGTGTTTGCATATGTGTTCATTGTCTGTCGGTTAGAATGGTAAGAGCAAAGTATCTTGAAAACACCCTGGGATGGGTTTGAATTTCCAGCTTCTTCAGCTATTGGGCTGCATCACCAGGCAGAGGGTCTGGGCCTCAGTTTCCAATTGAACAGAACATCCCATTAGGTGGTTTCCAAACCTCCTAGGACTGTTATGCTTGATCACCAATGTGATGAGTGAAGGAGTTGCCGTGGAAACAACTCCTGCCACACGTAATGAAGTTGAACACTTCCCATTTTAGACATGGAATTATTACTACAGCCCTTTCAATGTTTAAAATGATAGTGCACAGCCAATGACACAGCTTAGTGGCAGTGTCTGCCTGGTAAGCACGAGGTTGTGAGTTCAATTCCCAGTACCTAAATAAACAAATTAAATAAGGGTGCATTTGCTTATTGAGAGTAAGATATGGAAAGAATCTTTTGAACATTTTAATGTGAAATTTTATTCAGTGTTGTATACAAAACAGGTTTTTAGATATTGACAAAGGAACATATACATATATAATGATTTTTAAAAATGCGATAGAAAAATAGCTCATTGTGAATATAGTAAAAAAAGCTTTTTTGGCTGTGTGAGCTCTCTTGGGGAAATATATAAAACATTGCTTTGACTTTAATGATAATTTCTTCACATTTACCTTAGATCTTTTCTTTAAGGAATTTCAGACATTTCATAACCAGGTTTTAAATTAAGTTTTAATCTCAAAATTTCCTTGAGATATAGAGGCAAGTTTGAGAAGGAATTACTGTCAAGCAAGTCTGTCTCTCTAAAAGCCAACATTTCTTGGCTTGACATAATTATTCAATTCAATCACTTTGATTTCTACTTTAGGATAGTAACTCTTTTTTAATACTTTCTGGAAACAGAGTAACTCAAAGTAGAAATAACTCAGTGCAAAATTAAATGCTATTGTTAAGCAAAATTATTTAAGGAATTATACATGTTTTATTTTATGGATGGATTTCTAATATTTTCCATCATTTTCAGGATTAAACTAAGTTTGGACAATAACAATAAATAGGAATGGCACTGAAAAACAAAACTATATTATACATAGTTATATGTGTTTGTATTTATAACATATACATATAGTGACATGGTAGGTAGTTCCATGACTATGTATCTGTGACTATTTGTGTGAATAGGTATGAGTGTTCAGCATATAAAACAAAATAATTAGGAATATATAATATATGAGTTAAATTATATATAAACAAAATACTATTAATATAATATTTTATATAAAACAGTTAATACAAAAATTATTTAAGTTGTAGGTCAGTTGAAGTACATGTGACAAATTGGTATCATAAACTTAATGTTAGAATGTAGTGATTCCTTTTTTTGAAGGTAAAGTATATCATTTCATGCTTTTTTATTTGTACCTTGGCTCACTTGTTTTTGCTTATTAGTTGAAATTGTGTCAGTTCCAATTTGAAAGGCAAAAGATGCATGACTCTAATTCTTAAATATTTTTATTGTGGAGGGGGGGTATGCATGAGTGGTACACGTTAGGCAGAGTGCTTGCCAACCTGCACAAGGTTTAGGTTGAAAAAATACACTTAAAAAATACATACATACATGTTCACATGTGCATGTGGATTTGCATATATATTTATAATTTACTCTGGATACCACATGATTTAGCATTAGGCTTGGACAAACATTTTGTAAACCCTTATGCTAATTCACCAAGCTTAATTTCTATTAAGCTGCCGTATGGTAGATCACAACCGGAAAAGAACTTCCTAGCTACAAAGTAGAGGCTGGTTCACTGCTCAATCAACCTAAAGAGGTTGTGAGGCTCACACCTCAAGACACGTGATGTTGTCCACTTGGTCCTGTGGACAGGAGGACCTTGCCCTGCGCACCTTGGAATCCTGGTGTGAGCAGTTATCTGTGCAGGCTCCCGGAGTTGCATAGGTCATTTGAGATCAGTGAGGGTGCTTGTCCTTATTTCATGTGGCTCTCCATAAACAGCTAGTGTTATTTAATTTAAACATGTCAGAGAGTGTAAGTGTTATGGTTTATATCAGTGCATCCCCAAGCCTCATGTAATCATGGATTTGGCCAAATCTAGTATTTGTGATTGTCTAGCACTCTGACTGGTAGTGTGAGGTTACACTCACACCCAGGGGTGGAGCCAGCACACAGTGTAATGGCAGAAAGAAGGCATGTCTAGCTCTATTTTGTTCTGTCAGGGTTGCTGCCAGCAGCTGCCATGAACAGCTGCCCCTCAGCCTTGCCGTCCTGCCATGGAACCAGCTGAGTATGAACTGAAACCTCTAAAAAACTGTAAGAAATAAACCTTTCCTTCATGCGTGTGTCAGGTATTTTGTCTCAACAATGAGAAAAAAGTAATCAAGACAATAAGAAAAGCCTGGTAGGGAAGTTGGGAGAGTGGATCTCTCTGGGAGGAACACTTTCACTGGAAACCCAACTGTGGCTTTACTTATAGAAAGGAGACAGGGTCAGATCAGCCAGAGGGAAAGGCTTTACACTTGCGTCTGCTAGCCTGAGGACAGGGTCAATCCCAGCTCTCGATTAAACCTCACACAGCTTTTTTTTTTTTTTTTTTTTTTAATTTATTTATCACTGTTAGTGCAGAGCTGTGAGCCTTCTTTGCTTTGAGTTGGAAATCAAGCCCTAGTATTCCTCAGCACTAGGGAACCTGGTTTAGATGACATTTAGGTTTGCTTTTTAAACTTCATGTCATTACAAAACATTCCTTGTTGTCCTGGAAGGGATACTGAGCCTAGAGAGGAGACAACAATCAATTTAAGAAAATAAGCCACATGACTTTATGGAGGAAAATCCCAAAGGTAAATTTACTGGCCCCACAGCCCTCCAGTCCTTTGCTCCTTTCCTGAGGGCCAGCAATGTGTCCTGTGTGACTCATCCTCCAGAGGGCCCTGCAGGCGTGCTGCTTGGCAACACTGCCCTGGGAGCTTTTGTATCCAGCTCAAAGGTGGTTTCCCCTGGACCAGTTTTTCCTTGACACAATATACTTAAGAGTTACCGCGTTTATCATGCACACCTTCTTGGGTTTGTGTCATTCCTTAGGTTTTCTCCAATCATTGGAAGTTCGGTGTTTTATATACATTCTTGAGCTGTGAGATACAGCTTATCATGACTGAAATCCTGTGCATGTTTATGTTTATATAACTGTGATGGTAATTATGAAACTTTTTTGGAAAAACGTTCAGTAGATGCTTTGCTGGAGAGTCTGGTTCATGTACAGTCAACATCCCATACTTTCAAATAATCAATCTCTTTCATATATATATATATGTATGTATGATATAATTTTATTATATATATATTGTTTCTTTCAATTTTCTTTGTGTCTTTTTTTAACAAAATTCTATCATACTTATTATGTCTTTAGATATTTATAATCACTTTGAAAAAACTTCATAGATTGGTAATGTTACGTCAGTAATCCTATGATAGTGAATGGAATACAAGTCCTTTATCAGTCTTGAGAGTTTTACCCTGAGTTGTAGGTTTTTGTTTTATTAGCTTTGTAGTATTTGTTTGAAGAGAAACTTTAAGTAATTCATTCAAGTATATTATACTGTTAATTTTAAAAAACAATGAGGGCCAATAATTGTTTCTTAATTGATTCATGAATCACTTAAATAACTTACACAGTATTGGTTTTGTCTACGATCTTATCAGGTAGAAACTTTTTGCCACAGAAAGTTAAAAACACTGGCGAATGGAGACAAAGCAGACATAGTTACAGTGCTTTCACAAACTCTAGGTCTAGTGAAATTTCTAGCAAGACTTAAAACATTCATTGTGCACTGTTTTCTTATTCCTTACTGTTTTTTGTACATCTTATCTTTCAAGATGGAGAGAGAGGCAGTAAA